CTAAAGCGAGGGAGAGCAGCAGGCCCTGACAAGTTTACCCCTGAGATTTTTAAGGATGGTGGTCCAGTACTAGCAACGAGATTGACTGAGGTCTTAGGTAGAATCTGGGAACTTACGTAATTCCATCTGACTGGTCCCAATCACTGATTGTGCCAGTCTATAAGAAAGGACAAAAGTCCTCCTGTGACAATCACAGAGGAATCAGTTTGACTAATATAGTGTCTAAAATATTAGATTCAATAATACTTGGACGCCTAACCAAAGCTCGTGAAGAGCAGACTAGAGAAAACCAGGCTGGTTTCCGACCTGGACGTGGTTGCATAGACCAGATATTCACCCTACGTCAGGTCCTAGAACATAGACATACATTCAGACGTCCCACAATAGTAGTATTTCTTGACCTTAAGGCGGCATTTGACTCCGTTGATCGTGAGGTTCTATGGTAGTGTTTGTCAGTGAAAGGAGTACCAAAGAAGTACATTAACCTCATAAAGGCACTCTACTCGAACACAACTGGTCGAGTTAGAGCCTATGGCGAACTGTCATCAGAATTGGTTACCTCAAGTGGTGTTCGTCAGGGCTGTCCACTCTCCCCATTCTTGTTTAACTTTGTCGTTGACATGCTTTTAGAGGTATCACTTTCATCATCTCAATCTCCTGGAGTTGAACTTTTACCAGGAGGCTCACTTGTTGACTTAGAATACGCCGACGACAGTTTTGTTCGGTGAAGACTCTGACAAAATGCAGAGTCTTCTGATCACTATAAGCAACTATACAGGCATGTTCGGGATGCGATTCTCTCCCTCGAAGTGCAAACTGGTACTTCAGGATTGGGTTGCATCGACACCTGAACTAATGATAGGGAGTAAAGTAGTTGAGCGTGTTGACAGCTTCACTTATCTTGGGAGTCTCATCAGCCCTTGTGGTCTGGTGTGTGACGAAATCTCAGCACGGATACACAGGGCTCGTTTGGCTTTTGCCAACTTGCGTCATTTATGGCGTAGGCGAGATATCCGTCTAGCAACCAAAGGACGGGTTTACTGTGCAGCAGTCCGTTCCGTCCTACTTTATGGAAGTGAAACATGACCGATAAGAGTAGAGGATATTCGTAGGCTACTAGTGTTCGATCATAGGTGTCTTCGACGCATTGCTCGTATATCCTGGGAGCACCGGGTAAGTAATGCAGATGTTAGGAAATGAGTACTAGGTAAGGATGGCAAATCGATTGATGAAGTAATGAAACTTCACCAGTTGAGATGGCTGGAACACGTGTTACGTATGCACAACCACCGACTGCCCCGACGTGCAATGCTTTATGGTGTAGGAGCAGGTTGGAAGAAAGTTATGGGCGGCCAGACCAAAACATGGCATAAATCCATGAAGTCACTGACAAGTGGACTGGGCCATGTTGGTAGGTGTAGACTACCTGGTTGGGATTCGCGAGATGATAGCAACCGATGGTTAGAGACCTTGAATGACATGGCTCAAAATCGTTTGCAATGGCGAAGGTGCATCCACTCTTTGTGTTCTACCAAATTCTGAACTCTTCATGTCCGTATCCTTTTTCTCTTTCCAAATTTATTTCATTGTATTATACCCCTTGAATAACATCTTCAAACCCTAATCTTTCCGATTATTGCTTATACTCATACTACTTCTACCAATATAGGATTTGAATCGACAACTTCATCTCGGTGCTAATTTGGTATGGCAATTCGAACTGATGTACGTACGTACGAAGTTCTACGTTGTGACTGACTGAATACATTGACTTCAGCAAAGCTTTTGACAAAGTTTCTTACAACTGGATATTATATAAGAAGTGTCGGCTTTGGAGGCAATCTATTGATGTGGATAAAAGATGTCCTAATTGAGTGCCAAAAAAGAGTACGAGTGAACTCCAAGTTGTCTAGCTTGAAAACTGTGTTTAGTGGAGTGCCTCAGGGTACAGTTTCAGGGCCAATCTTATTCCTCTTATATGTAAATGACTTTACTCGTCTCGTCATCATCTGTCTTATTATATGCTGACGATGTCAAGATATGGAGGGCGATAAGAAGTAACGGTGATAGCTTAGAACGTCAAAAGGACCTGCACAAATTGGCTGTATCGACCACATATTCACCATTCGTCAAGTTTTAGAGCACAGACACGCTTATCGGCGTCCGACAATGATAGTTTTTCTTGACTTGAAAGCAGCATTTGACTCTGTAGACCGAGAGGTTCTGTGGCAGTGTCTGTCATTGAAAGGTGTACCTGAGAAGTACATAAACCTTTTGAAGGCTCTTTACTCGAACACTATTAGTCGAGTGAGAGCTTATGGCGAACTGTCATATGATTTTACTACCTCAAGTGGTGTCCGTCAAGGCTGTCCACTATCCCCATTTTTGTTTAACTTCATTATAGACCTGTTGCTGGAAATAACACTCTCATCGACTGAATTTTCAGGAATTGATCTCCTACCAGGGGGACCACTAAGCGACTTAGAATACGCAGATGACATAGTCCTGTTTGGTGAAGACGCTGGCAAAATGCAGAGTCTTCTGTTGGAACTCAGTAATAATGCCAGGATGTTTGGGATGCGTTTCTCCCCATCCAAATGTAAATTGTTACTCCAGGACTGGCCTGCGTCAACACTCGAACTAAGGATAGGAAGTGAAGTAGTCGAACGCGTCGACAACTTCACTTATCTTGGAAGTCTGATCAGCCCTAATGGGTTGGTGTCAGACGAAATCTCAGCACGGATTCAAAAAGCTCGTTTGGCTTTTGCCAACTTACTTCACCTATGGCGTAGACGAGATATCCGTCTATCAATTAAGGGACGAGTATACTGCGCAGCAGTTCGCTCTGTCCTACTTTACGGCTGTGAAACATGGCCATTAAGAGTAGAAGATACTCGTAGGTTACTAGTATTTGACCACAGATGCCTTAGAAATATTGCTCGCATCTTCTGGGATCACCGGGTAAGTAATAGTGAGGTTAGACGCAGGGTATTAGGGAACGATGGTAAATCAGTTGATGAGGTGATGAATCTTCATCGACTGAGATGGTTGGGCCATGTGTTACGTATGCCTGAACACCGATTACCACGACGCGCTATGATGACTAGTATTGGGGACGGTTGGAAGAGAGTTAGGGGCGGCCAAACCAAAACATGGCATCAGTGTTTGAAGTCACTAACTTCTAGCCTGAGCCATGTTGGCAGATGCAGACTACCTGGTTGGGGTCCGCGTGACTATCGTAACCAATGGTTGGAGACTCTAGGTGACATGGCTCAGAATCGGTCACAATGGCGTAGGTGTATACACTCTTTATCTTCCCTTAAACCTTGAGACTAAAATTGCTTCATATCTCTCTTCCTTCCTGTACTATATTCTTATATACAACCTATAATTTATATACTACTACCAACACTAGATTAACTACTATGAATCCGGTGTTCCTCTTGTTGTGCTAACGAGGTATGGCAACTTGGACCGATGCATATATGTGCCTGGTCCTACGTTGTAGCTGACCTGACCTGACAAATTATATGAATGTCTGGCGCTTTAACCGGGTTGATGGACACGGAAACTCCACCTAGGGGAGTTGGAAAACCCTGATTCCAAACCAATGGTGCACATGGGCTACAGGATCCTAAGGGAACAAATAACATATGAATCAATCGTTGGTCACCTGCTACCATGACTGCATCTCCTTACGATGCTCTACTGCCTTGTCGACCAGATCTTTAGGTCAAAGGCTCCGGGTGCGGACCCCCAAGAAAACCACCTGCTTCGGTTTGGGCACCTGGGCAGTGTCACAGGCCTCACACAAATCTTATTTGATTTGTGTGACGCATATGTATCTGGTACCCCTTTGTACCAATATTTACGTGTTTAAATAAATAAATAATTAAAACACACTGCCGTGTAATAGCTACCAAAGGTTTTAGAACCTTATGGTCAATACGTAGGGCCTTTAGTCATGTCGGCGCTAAAAAAATTTGACTTTATATACAGTATTCGTACGCCCCAGACCTGAGTACTGTATACAAGCTAGCCCTTCCCCAAAAAGAAAGCTTTTGGTAAACGTTCGGAGTACAGCAACTAAGCTGCTTCCCAGAACAGCGAAGCTCCCGTATGATGCTCGACCGGCCAAGCTAAAACTATCCCCGTTGTCATATCGAAGAATTGGAGGTGACTAGATTACAGTTTCCAAATTACTTAGTATTAAGTTGGCATCTGATATGCCCTCAATTTTTTATTTTCCAAAACAGAGAATTTACGAGGACACTCCAAAGTTCACAAGCCCAGAACAAATTACTTGTCAGCCGACCATCGACTTTTCCATCGAATCATCGACGAGTGGAATTTATTACCTCGACACGTGATTGAGGCCCCATCCGTCGACTCCTTCAAAAGGAAATTGGATCGGCTGAGACCATTATTACCAGGGCTAGCACAGGCCATCAAGCCTCCTGTCCTCTCCAAACTGAAGCCATCGTTATTGGCCTACAAAGTGTGGTGTTTAGGCATTAAGTCAAAAGTAAGGATGCAAGACTTCCAAGATTTAGATAAAAAGGATGAACGACTACTTACTATGATCCTCTACGGCTCTACATTGAGTATTATTGGCTGACCACATTAGTAAACTGATAAATCTAAGTTAACACAACGAATAGGAAGACTGGACTACTACCGCAGATGTATATTGCTTATAGATAATGTGGCTGAGTCTGAGAAGTGACATAAAAAACCTGAAAGAACAGTTTGATAGGATTAAGTCCAATTCCAAATCTATATCTGAAATGTCAGCTAACTTTTATAACAGGATAATCAATTTGTCGAGCCCTCCAGCCCCACCCAATGTAGCACGGTGAAAGATACAACTCAAGATATAAATGTGCTTAGACTAATGAAATAATAAAGTACCGTGTAGTTACAGTGGCTTATCACTAGACATATATTAAGAACTAGTAGCAAAAACTAGTCAGCGACAAACGAAGTATATGGTAACTTACCGAGAGGATATATAAGATACATTAGCAGTACCCGGCACCATTTCTTTAGCACTTCCGAAGTCACACACTTTTAAAACCATAGTATCTTCATTGACTAGTAAATTGGATGACTTGATATCACGGTGACATATTTGATGGCTATGTAAATAAGCTAAGGATTTGAGCATTTGATACGTAAAAACCTTCACAGTACAAGCTGGTATTTTCAAGTTCCTTTGGGAATAGCGGTAGATGAGTTCACATAAGCTCTCAGGGAAGCATTCCAGCACAAGATGCAAGAACACATCCACTCCCGACGTAGATGCGCCTGCACGTCCACCACCACTCCTATGGCCCCGACTATTAGACGACGCTGTCGAGTAATAGTAGTAGTAGAACTTTACAACATTAGGATGGTTGTTAAGGCGTTGCATAATACTCAGCTCACGGTTTTTGTAGCGAGGGTCCTGCAAGACACGCTTTACGGCGACCTGTAAACTTTGTCCTCCATCAGAGAAAGTACCGACATCAGAATTCTTTTTACCTGGTGTGCCTGAAGATGTTGCTGGTACAGTGAGAGTAGCTCTTTCAATTTGTCCAAATGTTCCCTGTCCAATAGTTCCAACAAAGCTCAAATGTATAGGAATATGCTGATTATCCTGTGCACCGCGAGCCTGAACCATCATTTGACGAGGAACAGATAATCCACTGTTTAATAAACTCATCAAGGCCCCACTGGAACAACGCGTGGAGCTTGAATGGTTAACTACAGGAGCTGGATCTTGAGTGGGAGGAACATTTCCGGATAATTTGGGAGCTGGATTTGTAACATTATGATTGACGCCCGAGCCAGTACCACCAGTAATTCTGGAAGTCAAGCTCATTTTTAGCTAATTTAATTGGATACGAATTTCTTGAATCACTGATGTCAAGCGATTACTTCAGGATTAATTTTTAATAATATAAAATATCCTATTCGATTTTCGATTTTTGGTGAACGATAAAGAAACGAGCCCAAAACAAAGCGAAGAAAACCAACATTTGTCTAACGCGCAAGGGCAGCTGAAAACAACAATTCAAACAAAATTTAACTCACAGTAACTAAGTACAACTGGCTGTGCTGAGGAAAACAAAATTTATATGGGTCATAGTGAATCTAGCCATATAAAAGCTGTTTAGTCACCTTTTTATGTAAGAACAGTAAAATAGGAAGATTAATAGTCTCGGGATACCATGAGATATTATACTATTATTTCCTTTACGTTACTCTGTTGTAGGGTTTGATGTAAGCAACTACTAAATCTTTTCATGGTGCTAAGATTTCATGGCATTTTTTTTCTTCACATATTTCTATAATGTTCTTACGTTGACATATACGAACTCCGGGATCAACTTTGTTCCAGTTACTTGAACCTTTTTTAACCTCTTATATCATTTTCAAGAAACAAGTAGACCATCTTGACATGAAATGAACTTTAACAGAACGAAAACTATACGTTTTCATAACTAGTTAAGTAATTAGTTGACTGAATGCTCGACTTATTGCTCAAATATTCTATAAAACCTCAATAAACTACAGTTCGGTGGTATTCAACATAAAGAATACGCAGATGTCCTAGGTTTGACAGCGCTTTTGTCCGCAACAACTTTATAACCTAACAGTACCAACTCAGTCAAATCAAAGTCAGGAATGAACGGGCTTCAGATTGATCAAGTTTTCCACCAAAACAAATATATCATGAGAACAAATAACACTTGATATAGTATCATCAGGATTTGATATTTTCGAAATATTTTCTTCAAATCAATTAAGATTGTCATTGAAGAATAATGGATCATCAGAAAAATCGACATCTATCAAAATTCAGGTCATGATTTGATTCATTCGACATCTGTTTCTTATTTTTATTAGAAATTTCACCAGAAATATATGAACCATTAGGATAACCCATATCTAGTGAAATAACATGAGAAATCTGATAGGAAGTTGACTAGTTGGAAACTTTAGTTTCACAATGATTCTAAGTTTCATTGTGTTGCGTGAATTACTTCCTGAATACGGGTCCCTCCTGCTTTCTCGACAAATGTCACGTGAAACATAAGTTCATCTTGGCTGGAGTTTATTTTCAAAGTTATGCAAGGCTAACCAAGCCTTATATAATTCTGAATTTAGATATGATTGTACATTGCCTGTGTCAACAATAAAGTCAAGAAATGGACCAAGGGGGAAATTACCTTTTGAAATGGCCGATAAAGATAAACGATCATCCGATATACTCAACTTAGTAAAATCAGAACTATAGAGTTTCTCATCACTAGTGGGAAAACGAACAGTAGTTCTTCACACCAACATTATGTGTCCCACTTTTCTACACTTAAAGCATTTAGCATGACGAAATACATATAAATCACGTGAAGTTCACGACAGAATAAACATTTACCAAACCTGTGTGCACTTCTATGATCTATTTTTCAATCCTTCGTTGAAAAATTTTTCATATTTCCATGAGAATAAGAACTATCATGGAACAAATACGAGCTTGGGGGACCGTTCACGATTGCCTTCCAGTCTCCGTCTGTATTAGCCATGTGTTTAGATATGCTGCTGAAGAGTAAGAAACGGAAAGTAAAAGTTTTTTAAGCAGCCCGAAAGCGGACTCAGTATGGTTAGATATTTCAATGTCATTTTTATTTAGTAACCCTAGGATATTTGATTTTTAAGTGGTCACAGCGTGGAGACTTGGATAACGGCTTCACTGGTAATTAAATCCCTGATGTGTATAACCTTCCATAGCATCTGATGATACCTTGGTCTCGTCAGAAGTCGGCTCCACCAGTGTTCATTTCAGGTCATATTTATTAAGGTGGATAAATAATTCTTATTACTGTTGATGCACCAAATTACACCTGGAAATTTCTGTCGAGTCACTCATACACCATGCTTTATGCATGTTTTTTAGTTTTCTTAGAAAAAGCATTTGTGAAAGTTCAGTGTTAAAACTGTTGACGTCTATACATTCATATAGATATTGGATTTGTGGAGCTTGTTTGTCCAGTTTTTCTGGTCGTTCAGTTTGTGCTCCAGCTTATGATTATTGTGGCCATAGTAGGATGAAGAGGACAACGTTCAAAAGTATAGTGTGGTTCAGTAACGTCAATGACCTGTGGAGTTCTTGTTGTTTACTGCTTTGACAAGGGATTTTCGCCTTTTGTTATGTAGAATAAACACTAGGCCGTAGTAAAATCTCTAGTTTTTCTTGATATCATAAAATAACGGATAATTTTCAGAGGAGCATTCTAAGTTTTGACATCTTTTGCCAGTGCATCGTCCACGAAAACATATGTATCTACCTTGTTGGTACCCAACTGTCGTTTCGTATATTCTGAGTGATCTAAATTGTCACTGTTGAATCACCCGGTGGTTAAACTAAATACTGTCCGGTAGTTCTGATGCTGGACACAACTGAGAACAATGGCAGTGGAAACAGTTATGAACAAAAACGTAACTGTTTATGATTTTAATGTTTGAGTTAAATTATTGAACAAGCAAAGTCTGTGAAATTAGTTCGAGCAAGAACGTGGCTACCAGGCATGGTAACTACCGAAAGTCAAAACATTAAGTAGAACAATAGTGAAACAGCCAAGATAACCCCAATGACATCAAGGGTTTGACCGAAGTTTGGAAATCGTAGACGTTACAACAATAATGAACGCAAACAGATAAAGGAGTGAATCGTTTGTCACTTTTTCTTGCCGGTATGTACGCTTCGTTTTGGTTGTGGAAAAAGGTAGACAAATGGTTAAAGTGGGTCTTTATTCTGATCGTGGACCAATCGGCTGCAGGTGCTAGTTGTCTTACCTATACATTTCTGATCTGGTTGCGGTAGTCAGATTATAAGTGAGGGCGATCGAATCAGTGATGAACAGTACTACACTATCACCATTAATATATGGCAAACAGAGAGATTTACCAACATCTTTTTACAAACAACATGACCTAAAGCTAAACATTACTACAATCATTGTTTGTAATCTTTTTCATGTAGCGTACTATAATGGAAGGTATGTTGATCCTTATCCTTATCATCAGAATGCCATGTACTGATTTATCCTCGCTGTACATCGACCAGCTAACGAAACCGGAATTAGGGTTTGGCTCTTGTCCTGCCTATCGCGTGTGATGTTAGTTGTTATAAATGTTTCGCCTCTATTAGTCTTTGCGTTCTCGAAAAATTTCGATGATTGGAGAAGTTGATCAACCTAATCAGACACAGCGTGCCGATTAACACCTTATGTGGGATTTGTGTTGTTACATTTCAATATTCCACAGCCTTCTTTGATTACACATTTATCATTTGACATTGATTAGCATCTGAATTTAATATTCCATCTTGTTGTAGTATCATCCCAGAATGTAGACACTAAGACCACGTTTTACAAATGGTTACAGCGGGAAGCGACCGTTTATTTATGTTCCTTTTCTGTCCACTTAAAACTGTTTTTTCTATATGGCTCTTGGAAACAAATTGTAATTTAAATCTTTTTGGAATATTCCTATTTATTCCTAGGTACTTAACGGTTATATTTAGTAATCACTGGTGCCTAACAGCACTCCATTTTGTACCAGAGGGGATTTTTATGATGTGTTGGTTGAGCAGGATTTTTGAGGTATTTTTAGTTTTGATATAATTAGTTATTATTATGCGGCATAGCAGACATTTAAGCAACAAATTATGCCTCAGAGTCACTGAAGTATTACCATCGACTGTGAGTGACTCAAAGAATCACCATTGTCTATGCAAAGTAATGTAGTAGCTTGGCTGAACTAAATAGACTTCAGTTTCGCTAGATATCTTTTTTTTCCGTCGATGTGGGGTAACATGAAACAATCGTGGCGTTACTAATTTAGCTCATCATCAGTATATAGCACATTAAGAGGATATTAAAGAAGCTCAAGCACCTCATCTACACTTGTCTGCTTATGTTTAGATTTTTGAACCTTTTAATTGACTTACTCAACAGACAGTGCCATTCGGTTCGTAATGACTTGTCTGTATCTTTCTATCATTATTATTATGTTTGTACCAGCATGTATATTTGATCGTGTCACATCCTAAACATATATCCCTCCTAATAATTTAAATGTCAGTTCCTGAAATAGCTTGATGACTCATTCGGTTTCCAAAATGTATACGCTTCTGAAATTCTAACACTTCATTTGCTTGCTCTCACGTTTCTGCTTGTATTTGCTTTATGTCTTTTGTTTTGTGATCGGCAGTGTACAACAATAAGTAGTAGTCATCGCTTTGTATGATCTCCGGGAGTCAATACACCGCTTGGAACTATTTAAGCACACTTGTTAGGATGAGTGTTATACGAGGCCTTAAAAATTATCTAGAAGATATTCCACGACGAAGTAAACTCCTAGGCGACTGGAGATTCAAGACAGTTAAATGTTCTGACACGATTATAGAAACTTGATAGATGCACATAAGAGACCCCTTAATATCCCCCTCTATTGATAAAGGGCGACTCAGAATTTGTATGAGATTTAAAAAAATGAATGAATCAGAGTTAAGATGTCAAATCTCAACTATGTGGCCACAACTAAAATATGTTCAGTGTTCACAGTGAATGATCGACACGAGAACATATATGAAAATAGACTATTGGCACAGGTCAAAAGAGATAGATATGCATTAATACAATGTAGTCAACGACGTTACGGTTAAACATGAAAACCTCAGAAGCCAAGCAATCATGTCAGTCTTCTACATTAATCTACAATACTATTATTAATTTAACCATGTGTTTCTGACCTCTGTGTTAAACCCGAACCCGGATTGAAAATTTAAGAGATTTACAGTCTTAAAAAATCCAGAAA